TCCGCGAACAGTGGTCGTTCGGACTCGGGTTCAGGGGCGCTTTCGGCTTCAGCGCGTAGGTTACGTCCTTCGGAGAAGGGACGAACGTTGGATCGGACGACAACCATTCCAGTCCGATCGGATCGAACTTGGTACGTGAGGATGTCACCCTTGTTCTCTGCAATGCCGACCCAGCGTCCTGCTGCTTCCTTGGTGTGAGGAAATGTCGGCGGCTCGTCGGCTCCAGCTTCGTACAGGACTCGTTCCCAGAACTTGAACTGCAGGAACGGCGAAATGTCGGGTACTCGGTTGAAGGCGGCTTCAGTAGGGGTCTTCCAGTTGAGGGACTCGGTCGCCAGATTGTTGAATAAGGCGATTACGTACAGCGCGCATAGGAGCCAGGCTCCAGCGGGTGCGCCCGTACGGTTCATGATGTTCTGGACTGATGACTTGACTTCTTGGATGCGACGCTCGGCAGGGTTCTGGTTCTGGTATCCGGGCTCGCTCTGTTGGTCACGAATCGCGTAGAATCGCAACAAGGTTTCAACTTGCTTCCCGAGCTGCACTCGCGAGTTATCGCTAATGAGCAAGTCGGGAGCGCCAATGTCTCGAATGAAGTCTTCGAGCGCCATGGGCATGTCACTCTCGGTTCTCAGTGGGTATCCCCTCGTCAGCAAGCTCTTCTTGCCGACGAACAGTTGCATCATCTTGCATCCGCCATGGCCGCGGATTCCGTCGTTAAAGGCGGGTTCCTTGGAAAACCAGGTATCTGTCGCCGTATCGTCATGGAAACGAACCACATTGGCGGCAGGGAATCGCGACTTAAAGTGTTGGCGAAATGGGGTGTGTGCCGATGCACGGAAAAGCTGTGTCGTATTCTTAATGGTGCGCTTGACTCGTTCAAGTGAGTGGTGTAGCCAAGGTAGGGTCGAAGCGCTTGGTAGTCAGGTTCTTGTGGCATTATGCGTCGTGCATTGGCTTGGCGCGTCGTATCAGCCTGATTGCGATCGACATACTGCACCACACGTTCCACTGAGTTCATGTTGTTCCGGTAGGTGGCGTCGCCGAAGTCATCCATGCGGGCGTCGACGAAACCGTGGGCTTCTTCCAATTCGTCGAAGCGACGATTAAACTCAAGTTCTTCTTCGTTCCATTCATTATCCAGCTCCGCCGGATCCCAAAGGGTGTCCGCAGAGAAAATGACCGTCGGATACATTTCCAACTCTGCGTCCGTCGGCGGACGCATATCCATACGAGGCAAGCCGTCACGGATCGCCAAGGGGATGGTCTTGCCACAACTGGTGACAATGGCTTGTGCTCCGTTCTGGGAGCGAGCGACGTCGTCGATCAGATGGCCGAACGAACGAAGCTGCGATGGAGCATGAATGGATTCAGCACCGTCGTACAAAGCATACTGGTTGAACTGACCGATAATGGGTCCAGTCCGAGTCTCAATCAATGCGACGCCAGTTCCGACTTGGAGGTCGCGAACCGTGTGGTCGCTCAAACCTGTCACGTTACACGTGTGGTTGGTAGTACTCAAGATTCTCATATCGCTTCCAGCGAGTCCACCGTTCGCACCGCCGTCAATCAGCGATCCTTGGCGGGTCTCGTTGCTGCGAGCTCGATTCACAGTGTAGCGCACCGATACCATTGCGCGGTACCGACGGCCGTCGCTTCCCATAAACTCTTGCTGGGTGTTATTCGCAGCTTGAGTGCGAGACGACGCGGCGTTCGCAAGGAAAGATCTAATCATGTCATCCGGTGCACCTTGAGTGGCTGTCGTCGGGGCGATCGAGACAGCGTCATTCTGATACAAGATTGTACCAGGCACCGAGGCAGCCGCTTGTGACTGCTGGTTATTCGCGCGGTTGCCGTTGTTCGCGCGTCTTGTTGTGGCGGGTCTTGGGACGGCTTCGCGTCGAGCCATGAGCTGAGCGTATTCGTCCTCGTTAAGTCGGCCGAGTCGTTCGTACGACATGTACGACCAGGGGGCCTGCAACAACTGTTCAAAGTTCAGATAATCACCAGGGAATCGCTCCCGATGCGCTTGCGTGCCGGCTGCTGGTAGTGGCGCGGAAGAGCCTCGTCCTCCGGAACCGCGGCCCGCTTGGGTGCCACGTCCACCGTCTCGTCCAGCGCCGCGTCCGCCTTGGCCGCCGCGTCCTCCACCACGGCCGGAACCGCGTCCGTTGCCACGTCCTTGGCCGGTAGTGTTCGCGTTGTTCGCTTGGCGGTCGGCGTTCTTCTTGCCCTTATTCAACTTGGCGTTCTTGTTGTCGATGCGCAAAGCCTGCTGCGACAACATGTCGAAAAGATAGTCATAATCTTCCGTCACGACGGCATCTGGGTCACCGCCCGCACTGATGATGCGTCGTCGTTCAAATGTCAAGTGCTGGTCGAATGTCGTGCACGTGGGGCCGAATTCTTCGTCGCCTTCCACTGCAGCTCGGAGCCAGTAGTACTTCTTCTTGTCATCCGTCACTCCAGGACGGAACTCTTCGAGATTCTTCATGAGCTGTTCGATGTAGTTTAGGAACTTGTAGTGTCCTTTCGTCCAGGTCGAATCTAGGCGAATCGTCGCAAGCTTGGCTTGCAGTTCGTTCGCTTGGATGGTAGCTAACTCGCCGGAACCAAACTTGGTCGCGAGATCGCGATAGACGCTCTGAGCGTCAGACTCGTCAGCGTACTTCATTAGGAGCGATTGGTATCCAGGTACTTCGAGACAATTGCGAAACGCAGTGTACATGAAGATTTGCTGCTCCTTGAACTCTTCCTTCTCTTCTTCCGTGACTGGTACGTACTTGCTGTCGAGCACGTTAGAACAGCCATGGAGCTTGGCGATTGCCTTGGTAGACGCGCTCCAACTCAACCACCCGTGGGGATGCTGGAACGTTTTGTAGTCCTTGTAATCTCGCTTCGTCTTGATGTTCGAGAAACGACCCTTGGCATCTGCTTCCTTTTCGGCCTTCTCAGCCTTCATATTCTCATTTTCGAGTTGCTTGGCAAGTAGCTCGGCTTGCGCCCTCTTGGACTCGAGGATATAGTACCCTTCTTCACGCTTTCGACCGATTTCTTGTTCGGCGAGTCTTTCTTGGAATCGCTCGAGCTTGCCTAAATCAAGTTCCGCCCACTTCTTGGTGTTCGGGGCTCCGTCGTGCATGTTAAACCATTCGCATGCATCGAGGATAAGGTTCACGTCGACTGGTGGTAGACGTGTTTCGTATCGTGCTGGGGCGGCGGCTGCTTGTCCTTCGGCCGGTTCTTCGGCCGGCTCGTCGCCCGGCTGCGCATCGTCGGGTTGCGCGCCTTCAGGTTGGCCAACGCCTTGTGGGATGGCGGCTCTGTCGACCCAGTAGGGGGCTTCAAGTTGCTCCTTGGTCAATCTCAACATCTGGGTAGTGGTGGTTACATTCCAAAACAAGAACGCTTCTTGGATGTCTTGTCCGAAAACGTTCACGCAGAGCGCTTGCAAAGCCTCCGCAGTAACCGAAACCATGATAGTGAATACCTCGCTTTCCGCAAGTCCTTTCTCACACAACAACCGCTCTCAATGCAGTCGAGCCTTATACGATCCTGTTCTACGCGCTCGCGTCAAGTATTCGGATTGACGACGCCGCAAGGAATCTGCTCTTTCTCTCTCAATTTCTCGATTCTTTCACTCTCTCTCTTTCGCACAGCTCTCTCAGGTCAAGACAAGCTAGCAAGACTGTTAATCTGACACGATAATATCAGACGAACCTTTATTCCAGCGACTACAATGGACTAGGAGCGATCAACCTCTTCGTCCAGCGTAAAGCAAACAAACAAACTCAATTGCTAGAATAGTGCATGTTACTCGCTACTCTACTCGTGCGCTTCTTTCTCGTTCTCACTGGGTTCACGGTCGAGGTTCACGCCTCGATCGTCAGCGATTTCACTCATGTATGTGAGGATTCGGTCACAAGTGTGACTCAACCCTGCACAGGATTAAATGCATACAAAACACAGGTAGCTAACCATCTTGTCATAAGACGCAGGTCAACTCAACTCAATAATATTGTGTCATTCCGCAAGTCCTTTCTCACACAACAACCGCTCTCAATGCAGTCGAGCCTTATACGATCCTGTTCTACGCGCTCGCGTCAAGTATTCGGATTGACGACGCCGCAAGGAATCTGCTCTTTCTCTCTCAATTTCTCGATTCTTTCACTCTCTCTCTTTCGCACAGCTCTCTCAGGTCAAGACAAGCTAGCAAGACTGTTAATCTGACACGATAATATCAGACGAACCTTTATTCCAGCGACTACAATGGACTAGGAGCGATCAACCTCTTCGTCCAGCGTAAAGCAAACAAACAAACTCAATTGCTAGAATAGTGCATGTTACTCGCTACTCTACTCGTGCGCTTCTTTCTCGTTCTCACTGGGTTCACGGTCGAGGTTCACGCCTCGATCGTCAGCGATTTCACTCATGTATGTGAGGATTCGGTCACAAGTGTGACTCAACCCTGCACAGGATTAAATGCATACAAAACACAGGTAGCTAACCATCTTGTCATAAGACGCAGGTCAACTCAACTCAATAATATTGTGTCAATTAGTCTTGCTCCATGATTTCTGTTTTGGCTATGCTTGGGGACACATATGCGGTGAAATTGGTGCAGATCAACCATTGCTGACATGTAGCATCAGTTGTTGGGGAGGGCAAAGATCCACACAGTCACCAGCTCCATAGCATGTTGCTACAGTGTCAGTGTGTGGCCTTATAACATCATCAAGCTGCTTTTCTGATAGTGGCAGCGTCATGACAACAAAAAGTTCTAGTAACATCATAAAGCTACTGCACTAGTGGCAGGGGAGGGAAAAAGCTTATCAATTAAAGTGTGTTGGTGCCTTGCCTAAAGCATGTTGGTCCACATGATGTGGAGAGCAGCTCAGCCAAAGTCAAAAGCTGTGGCTCAAGCTTTTACATCATGGAATTTTCAAGCAACCCTGTAATGCCGAGGAAGCAAAATTGAAGTTGATTCTATAAAACAAATGTTCCCCATGCAGGACTCGAACTTGCAGCCTTTCGATTAGAAGTCGAACGCGCTACCATTGCGCCAATGGGGAGTGTCATTCAAAATGTAGTCATATTGATAATGAGTACGGTGGGTGTACTAATGTATCTACGCGCAGTGTGATACCTTTACTCTTACTTGTAGTACAATCAAGAAGAAAAAATGGTGCATGGTGCTCAAAGATAAACAACTAAAACACTCTTTAGGGTCTTGACGAGGACGCAATCGATGAACGTACCCGTACCGGTACAGTACGTCGAATGACTCGTACATACGTCGTACGACGTACGTTACGTTCGATCATTTCAATACCGGAACGACACATATGCCGACATTCGATTCACTGTCAACATCATCCAGATTTTTATCCACATTGTTTCCATTGCCATTGCCGTAGAACATTTCCTATCGCAATGAAACCAACCTCGAGATGCTGTATACAGTCCATGATACTATCATTAATGATGGTACAGACTCTTGCATTTTCCGTTACAAAAAATCTATCATCTTCTCGTAGGATGAGTCCAAAGTCGGATCGATTCGCTCAAATGCCTTCAACATCACTCACTCATCATTCCAACCAACAACGAGGAAGACAGTCCACAACTTTTTTATCAGCAACTCCAATATCACAACAGGAAGCGCAAAAGGGTATTGACGTGGTTGTTGCGGCCCTACGCAGAGACAAGACTGCCGAAAATGAGCTCGGTCGGCTCCAGAAGGTGAATAATGTACTAGGCTTTGGCAGTCCATCACCGGGAACATTGCTGCTGCGATTCAATGCATCCTTTCAAAAGGGAGGATTTGGTCGCAGCTCTGTGCCGCTGCCGTTTGGTTTGGGACAGTCTAACAAGAGTGAAGGGAGAGGCACAATGGTGGGACAAGTCAAAGCGCAAGTCGTTAATGGAAAGGTTACTTCGTGCAGTGTCTTTCGCGACTTGGGCTATGGACGAAGCTTCAATCTTAAATGCTAGCAGACAAAGAGAAGGGAGTCTACTACAGCAATGAGACGACGGCGAATGGCGTCAAAATAAGCTATAGTGATGCAAGTTATACGCGATAGGACGCGTTTGCTGATTACACTATAAATCGAAAGGTAATGCTCACCAATAAGCATTCAATTGACACTCGTCGAGACGTTTGCCCATTACGCACGCGACAAAACAAAGCAACAATGTCAAATCAAGACAATCTTCTTCTTGTAGCCACCCGTCTTGCGATCCAACGCCCACTGCACCTTCTTCACATGGACGGGTTCCTTGGCAGCCGCCCACTGCTGCTCCAAGACAATCTTGACTTTTTGTACTTGCGAAAACGGTTTATTGTTTTCCTGGTCGCGCTCTGGAGAATCAAAGGAGTGAGCTGCAGCAAGAGTCTTGGGTTTGCATACTGCATCCGAAACAGTTCCATTTTCAGCGACAACTGTCAGTGTCACTGCATTCGTCGACCGCTTATCACTGGGCATAAGATTAGGAAAGGAGCTTGACTTTAAAACAAGCTCACCAAGATTTGGACGGTTCGACTCTTCCTGTGAATGACATGCACGCACGGAAGTGTCATCCGCTTCCTCCATGGTGGATACTTCAAGGATTGGAGGCGGAAGATCCTTGCGTCGGCGAGTGCGGTTGGAGTATCCATACTGATCATGATCACTAATCGTCAACGCTGGGTGTTCATTTTCTTGCGACGATGACGAGGCAAACATGCGACTCATGCTGTAGTCCAAGGCGTCGGGCAAGATGGACGGCAGCGCACTGTCTTCGCTCCAAGTTGAAACTGTGTTTGAATCTTGTTCCAAGCTCGAGTGCGATGCAGCGTCGTTGCTCGGATACGTTCCATTGCACAAATACTCAAGACTGCTCGAGGTCAGCAAATCCGAGGGACAAATGGTCGCATTGTACATGCTTGTGGTGACGAGTGGTGCTAATTCACTTGGTGCTGGTGAAGGAGTGATGGGCTGCGATGATTCGCTGCCAATCGTAGACGAAGCTCCTTGGTTCTTGCCAGCTTTGCCAAGCAAACGAGGAATTCGCCGGTGAATGGTAGATGTCGCTACCGGTGGATTGGTCGACGACGACTTTTCGGTCATGGCCCTGGTGCTCTTGTGACGCCGACCGACCAACGTTTTGGCTCCGTCGGTGAACTTGCGGAAAGAGCCAACATTTGCGCCTTGACGTACACCGACCGATGACGCATCCTCAAACCCATCAAAAGCCAAATCACCAATCAAGTCAGACGTCCTCTTGTCGTGAAGGACTTGCGGCAGCGCATTTGGGTGCCACTTGGGAGCTTTATCGTACTCGTCCTCCTCTTCCTCCCACGAGTGCGACGGAAAGACGTCAAGCTCCTCCCAAGAACGCGGTTGAGCGGCAAAACTGCTACCTTCGGAACCAACCACCATGTAATTTTGGTGCTTGTGTTTGTGAACTGAAGCCTCCTTGGTTGTGGCGCGAACATTGCTGCTGTACGTGGGCTCGTCGTCGCAATCATCGTCCGAGCTTGCACATTGAAGGACCGTCGATCGAAACTTAAAGTTAGAAAAGTCGCGAAAGACTGGCTTTGTCGAAACTGTCTCAATAGCTTCCTCTTGCTCAAATACTTCAACCTCCGACTCTGCCGACGAGCACGTCTCCTCAAAGGCTTCGAGTGACGAAGTGTACATTTCGTCAAAGCTCTCGACTGGATCCTGCGTCAGTTCTGTCTTAACTGGATTGCAAGTGTCAGGCTCAATCTGCTTCACCAGTGGCTCTTTGGGAATGGCATTACCGATCGAGTCTGCGTCTGTATTTGGAGTCGGTTCGATGACAGACACCAAAGGTTTGTCCTCCACCAACGGTGCCGTGGCACATTGCTCATCGTCACTGCCGCTCAGTGACACAACCTTTACTAATTCAGCTCCAGATCGACTGACGCGCAACGTCTTGTCAAAGCTGCTACTAGCGGCAACGACTATTTCCTTGTCACCCTTGCATCGATTCTCAAACTTTTCAATGCGCCGCTGAATGCTTCGAGCGCGGCGGACGCCAACCTGATTGACTTGAAAATGCTGCTGATTGCGTTCTCCAAAGCGTTCCAGCCAACGCTTCAATTCTGATACTGACTTGCGTCCGTCCGTTGTTGCACCTGCGGTATTACTCATGGTGTATTGCTGTGGATTCAAGTCTGGGATATACCGACTATGTTCAAGAGGTGCTGCTTTCGAACCAAGGAGTGAATGAAAGAGTCGTCGACTCCCATCCTACATTACCTTCCACGCGGGAACTAGCACCGTGATGGACGCCCATCACGATGTAAGCGGAGCATTGGAGAACGAGTCTGGAGAGGTGCGTTTGCGATTGTTTCGTCCCACGTTGCCAAGGAGGTACGCAAGACGCAAGGCAAGGTCGCGACGCGTTGCCGGCCCCTGAATCGTCAATTTGCGTGTTTTAAAGTTAAAGATAAACCCCACCGACGTCTTTGGATGCATCACACATAGTCATCAAACGAGTCCTCGTATAGCTGTTGTATACATAGCAAGCAACATCAATCGTGTGCGTTTCGAGACGAGAAGGGAAATCGGCAGTACCGCTACGATCCAATGCTGGCGAGGCCGGCGCGCATAACATCCGACGGCTCGTGCGATTGGTTTCACCATGGCGGGTTGATTCTGCATCAACGCTTTCATAGCATTGCGCGTACTTTTTGACTACATTACCTGTAGGAACAAACCTAACAAGCTGTATTGCTTATAAGACATTGCATAGCTTTTGATTTTGATTCAAGCAGCATGCCTCCTCGCAACGACGACCGACAGGCAGCCGCAGCAGGAAAAGCCGATTCCACATCAAGCACCGACAGCAACAACAGCAACAATAACAACTTGCAGCCCGACTCTGTATCTTCCTCCACGCATCAATTGCAAATGAAGCGTCGCAAACGCAAGCCATTGGGCGTCTGTATTTGGAGTCGGTTCGATGACAGGCCCCAAAAGTTCGTCCTCTACCAAAAGTGCCGTGGCACCTTGCTCATCGTCGCTGCTGCTCAGTGACAACTCCTTTTTTAACTCAGCTCCAGATCGACTAATGCGTAACGTCTTGTCAAAGCTGCTACTAGCGGCAACGACTATTTCCTTGTCGCCCTTGCATCGATTCTCAAACTTTTCAATGCGCCGCTGAATGCTTCGAGCGCGGCGGACGCCAACCTGATTGACTTGAAAATGCTGCTGATTGCGTTCTCCAAAGCGTTCCAACCAACGCTTCAATTCTGATACTGACTTGCGTCCGTCCGTGGCTGCTCCTGCGGCGGTATTATTCATGGTGTATTGCTGTGGATTCAAGTCTGGGATCTACCGGGTATGTTCAAGAGGTGCTGCTTTTGAAGCAAGGAGTGAATGAAAGAGTCGTCGACTCCAATCCTACATTACCTTCCACGCTGGCACTAGCACCGTGATGGACGCCCATCACGATGTAAGCGGAGCATTGGAGAACGAGTTTGGAGGTGCGATTGCGATTGCTTTCGTCCACGTGGCCAATGGAGGTGCGCAAGACGCAAGGCAAGGTCGCGACGCGTTGCCGGCCGCTGAATCGTCAATTTGCGTGTTTTGAAGTTAAAGATAAACCCACCGACGTCTTTGGATGCATCCCACATAGTCATCAAACGAGTCCTCGTATAGCTGTTGTATACATAGCAAGCAACATCATCGTGTGCGTTTCGAAACGAGAAAGGAAGCCAGTACCGCTACGATCCCAATCTGGCGAGGCCGGCGCGCACGATCCGACGGCGCGTGCGATTGGTTTCACCATGGCGCGATCTGATGTTGCATCAACGCTTTCGTCGCTACTACGCGTACCTTTTACTACATTGTCCTGTAGGAACAAACCTAACAAGCTGTATCGCTTATAAGACATTGCATAGCTTTTGATTTTGATTCAAGCAGCATGCCTCCTCGCAACGACGACCGACAGGCAGCCGCAGCAGGAAAAGCCGATTCCACATCAAGCACCGACAGCAACAACAGCAACAATAACAACTTGCAGCCCGACTCTGTATCTTCCTCCACGCATCAATTGCAAA